TGGTATCACTGCAAAGGAACTATCACCTGACGCCCATTACTTTATGTTTTACCCATTCCAGTGACTCCAATACCAACCTCAGCAGTATTTATGCTGGATGCGGTTTGCGACCTCGTAGTCAGAACCGCTTCGATGCTAACAAGTGGAAGCCCTATGCATCTTTGTCTGATTAGCACTGGGACGGTGACGCACCGCAGAACCTAATCGAAACGATTGCTCTGGGCTGGCAGAAAGCACCTCCGTTACTATTTGTCTCCTCCAGCAGCCATTTTCGGCCACTGACATGTTTTGCAGGTGAATTGGTGCCCTGGCCGAACGCAGCACTGTCGGCGCCAAAGTATGTGAGGTCAAACCAGTCTCTGCACACTGATATTTTGGGCGGGGTATTGTTGCCCCGTCAAATACAGACGAATAAACTCTTTTTTAAACTCTAGGCCTGACTAGTCAATGGACAAGTGGAAACATGAAGTGACGCTGGCCGCTCTGCGAGTCGATAGTCGTGTTTGTCCTTCGTCCGCCTCTCTCATCTCTTTCCACTATTTGAAAGATCACCTAAAACATCCTGCCTCGTTTAAACCGAAAATTCCGACGAAAACCGCAAACGTGCTTTCTAAATGACTTGGCACAGAAGGGGCTGCCCTATCTGGCAGAACGAGATTGCCCATGGCGTCGTGAGCGGTACGACAATGTTGAGCCAGAGGAGCCAATAGAGGTCATATAAGCCAGCCTTAACGCGTTTATTCTACAAATAAAAACAAACCAAACAAAGAAGCCTTCCTTTACAACGGTCCCCGCGTGCGAAGTAGTGTTGGGATGAACAGCGGCTGGGCCTGGGGGTCGGTCAGGCCTGGTGGGGCGCAACTGTCACCACGGGCACCAGCGCGGCGGAGAAACGGAGAAGATATTTCTTTGGTGAATTAAGCTCCTTCAAAATGGGTTTTATACCTTTTGGTGTGGGTTTCCGTAGGTGTATAGGTACCGGGGTAGATCTGTCTAAGCCCGCTAGACAGTTGGAGGCGCCTATCCGGGATTCGCGCACTGCACAGGACCACTGGCGTATTCCGCTCTAGTTGTTTTTCTCTCATCCTCAGTAGAACAACTGTTTTGGTAGCAACACAGACACAGTAAGAGTCTCAAGCACCTTGAAATTCTTGGCTGTAAACATTACCGTGGACAGCAGACGAACTAGCAACGCCACGACATCAAAGGGACTCGCGGGAGGCCCCATTAGCGCCCGGGGGCCCCTCTAGCAACGAAGAGGGAACATACGAGAGTTTCATTTGTCTTGAAGGTTTTTAGAAACATTGAACATGGAACATTTTTGCATGTCGGATGAGAGCATCGAAATAATTTGGGCGAGGATGCGGCGCTCACGCCGACCACGACCAGCGTTCCTCACTCAGTGGTGTCGTGCCCTGTAGTACAATGGTAGTTGCTGCCCTCAACATTGAGAGCATATGTGTCCATTATGATAAACTAATAACAAACTAAAGCTTAAAAATTAAATTGATAAGTTTCTAGTGAAGCATGTAGGAAAAGTGTTCAAGAAGTGGACTAAAAGAGCAATTTGGATGTAAGTTCTCGCCGTGCGACTGGCCCTGGCAGCAAGAACGACTCTGGCCAACTGCTCACTACCCGGAGGAGTAGCCAGCAAGCAAGATGGATCATATTTTGTAACGATAAAAGCATAGTTTTGTTAATTGCAATTTCCTCATTTTTCTTCTACTGGACTGGTTTCATGTGTGGACAACCCCCCCGTATGGGTTGACGTTTTGGCCGCATTGGTTCGTGTCTGGCGGGCCGTAAGCCCTGATTCATTNACCCCCCCGTATGGGTTGACGTTTTGGCCGCATTGGTTCGTGTCTGGCGGGCCGTAAGCCCTGATTCATTGCTATTTCTCCTTTTCTCTGCTGGATAGAACTATTAAGTATGACAATTGAGGATTATATTGCTGTCGAAACTCACCCTAAACTCGTGCATTGCTCCCCTAGCGGTTTCGGACCTTCACTTACGAAGACCAGGGCACAACACTTGGTAGGGGCCCGCGACGTAGTGGCGAGCCGTGCCTGGGCCCCAGGTCATGGCGCAAGGCTGTCGGCAGCTGAATGCTTCAAATTTGCGGACAAAGCCTAATTAATTATCTGTGTCTCTCTTCTTACGGTTTCGGTAGCCCAAATCCCGTACATTGTAGTGCCGGGCAGTACAGACGCGGCCACCGGCGGGCTCCATGCACGAGCGCCGCAGTACCCAGCATGAGGGCACTATGGGCGGTCGTGAGTCGGAGCTAATCTATGTTTTCCGGCCATTCGAAATGCCTTTTTCGTGTATAATTCGAAAACTACCTTTTTTCTAAGGCGTAGGAGCAACCATTTGGGTTAGGTACAATGTGCGACTGCAGCCCTAAGAAGTAGGTTATGTAGCCTGGGGGGACTCAGCGCTACAGTATGGGAAGCTAACAGAGCAGCAGCAACGACAACAGGAAAGGCAGCAGGAAGGCCGACGACAATGGCGGAGGAAGACTTCTTCTCTCTTCTTCTCACTAACCACATTGGAGGAGGCGCCGGGATGCCTCCTGACGAGCAACAGCAGCAACAGTTGCTTCAGAGACAGCGCCGAATACATCTGCAGCATCGGGTGACGCAGCAGAATCAGCAGGACCGCCGTGATAGCAGCAGGAGCAGCTACCTAGACGGCCGCGATGCGAAGGGATGTCTTGAAAGGCAGTGCCATCCAGCTTATCATGCATCGACAGCAGCACCAGGAGCTGTAGGAAATACAGCCTTAGATGGAGGAACTGCAACTTCAGAGAGCTGGCAGCTGCTGCAACAGGAACAGCAGCATTTGCAACGACAGTGGCAGCAAACAGAAATAGGCTGTTTTGTGGAACATCAACGCCAGGATCACCCTCACCAGTACCGTCAGCAGCATCTTCGGCGACACCGGCAAAGGCCCCTAAGCAGGGGAGTTATTCCTCGTTGCGCAGGTGATTCACAGCCGAGTAGCCGCGCAAGCAGTCGTAGCAGCAGTCCCAGGATGCCAAAGTATTCAACTCAAGGGACAGTGTACTGCTCTTCGCGACTTAGGGGAGGCAGCCGCTCAATTGCTGCAAGGCGTCGCAATAGCAGCAGGAGCACAGGCAACAGCAACAACAGGAGCAGAGTCAGGGGCAGGCTCAAGCGCAACAGTCGGGAGCCCCAGAGGAACATCAGCACGGGTGTAGATAGCAGACGGAGAGGGCAAAAGCCATCAGCAAGCAGCCTGAGCGCTGATGCCACAAGCAGCAGCAGATGCAGCAGTAGAAGCAGCACCTGGCGCCACCGCAGCAGCAATTGCGCTACTAGTCGGTCGTATGCTAAAGCGCGGTACCAGCAGCACCAGCAACAGCAGCAGGGTGCAGAAGAGCAACATAAGAAGCAAGCTCAGCACCAAAAACAGCAGCAGGCGCTGCAANACAGCAGCAGGGTGCAGAAGAGCAACATAAGAAGCAAGCTCAGCACCAAAAACAGCAGCAGGCGCTGCAAGAGCAGGAGCCTCATAGCGGCAGTAGAAGAAGCAGCGATGACTCGGTTGCCTCTCTCATTTCTCGCAGTCGCCGTCTTTTGCTGGGGGAAAGATCGAGCAGCAGAGAACAACGCATGCAGCGGCGGCAACCGAAACAGTTGCTACAAAGGGAGCAGCTGCAGTCGCATGGTAGCTTGTTGCAGTCTAAGGACCTAGCCAGACGAAAAGAAAGACACAAAAAGCAGCAGAACCGCAGCCGCACCAACACGAGCAGCAGTGGCAGATCCGTCAGCAGCGCCAGCAGCGTCGACCGTGAAGACAACAGAGAGGAGGAGCTCAGCCAGCGGAACAGTGAGGTAGACGGTTCGTTGGAGTCTCTCCGCCATCTCGAAAATAAACGGGATAATGCCAGTTCGCCCGAGCAACAGCAGAAAGCGTCGCCGCAGGAACAGGGGCAAGGCCATCCGCAACAGCGCGGAGAGAGGGGAACAAAGCTTCAAGAAATGGAGGATGCAATCCATNGGGGCAAGGCCATCCGCAACAGCGCGGAGAGAGGGGAACAAAGCTTCAAGAAATGGAGGATGCAATCCATAAGGCGAGACTTCTGCTCCAACAGCAGCAGCAGCAACAGCAGCAGCTGAAAGAGCTACAGGCGCAGCAGCTACTGCTACAGCAACAGCAGCTAAACCATCAAAAGGCCGAGAAGGAGCTGAGGGAGAGACAACAGCAGCTGCAGAAGGAAGAACTTGCGCTTCATTCCAGGCAGCACCAGCAGCAGCAGCAGCAGCAACGGGCGGTCAGTTTCCAGCACCAGCAAAAGCGCCTCATTGGTGCTTCACATGCTGCTGTTGCTTCCTTGCAGCAACAGCTCCAGCTTCTCCGAGTGTTACTACAACACAGCCTACGAGACGCTGCAGCGTGGATGGAAAGCAGCCTTGTCGGGTTCAAAGCTGTTTGCGACAGACAGGTATGACGCGTTGAGAATTTAGCAATGTGGCTTCCAAACCCATATTTCAATTTTTCGACGATCAGCTATGTTCACCCTCGTTTTCGGGTTGCGGTGCAGGTTGGCGCAGCTGCAACCACAGCGGCTGAGGCAGCTGCAGCGCATGACCAGCAGAAACAGCAGCTACAGCAAAGTATCAACTTGCTGCAACTGGAGCTGCAGCGCGCTGTGGGAGCTAAGCAGCAACAAGAAAAGCTAGTGAGTTATTATCCCTGAAATGAGGACTCAACCGCCCGGTCAGGCAGCGTTTTTTGCCTCAGCTGCCCCTTCTATTTCTCCACGATAGGTCTCACGCTTTACAGTTTGTTTTCTAGGTTGAAACGCTGCGAACTCAACAAGAGGAACAACGTGAGGCAGCATCGGTGGCAGCCGCGCAGCAGGCGGAGGAACAGCTAAAGCAGCAGCAGTTAATACAGCAGCAACACGTGGAACAGATTCAAGAACTCCAGTGTGCCCACAAGAAACAGCTACAGGAAGTCCAGCAACAACACCAACGGCAACTGCAGCAGCAGCTGCTTCAGCAGCAGCAAGCGTCCAGCAGCGAAAGGGAACAGCTCCGGCAGCAACTTCAGGAGGCTCAAGAAGCACTAGAAACGCTGAGACTACAGAGAGAAGATGTAAACATATCTAAGCTTCCAACTTGCAAATGTGCTTGTAGCTACAATTTTCAGCTCTATAGCTGTGGTTTCTACTTTCCTAGGTGCTGGCTGTTGTTGTTGTAGCTAGTTCTTTGGCTTCCATTGCTGCTTTTGCACGTAGGAAAGGGCGGAAAGGGATAAGCAGCAGAAAGCCAAGGAAACCGAATTGAGGCGAGTAAAGGAAAGCAACATCCTTCTTCGTCAGCAGTTACAACAGCAGGAGCAACAGATACATACGCACCAACAGCAGCTGACCCTGCTGCAGGAGCAGGCTGAGAAAGATGCACAGAAGCAAAAGGAGAAGCAGCAACAGCAGGAACAGCAGATGTTGCAGGCTGTAGAGCAGCTGAACGCGGCCGCCTCTCACAAAGAGGCCAGATTGCAGACCCTGCAGCGAGAGAAAGAAGCCGATAAATTGCAACTAGAGAGGTATTTCCAGATCCTACGGCATTCCCTCTTAGATAAAATCACCAAATGCATTTTTGTTGTGCGTTAGCTCCGACACGTCCAGATCAACAGCAGATGTCTGTTCTCCGTTTTGCCTTTCCCCTCTGTGGAATGTGCTGTATATCATGACTGAGCTGTGAATTTGGGCTGGCCTTCCTTGCATTGCAGAGAGAGGCAGATGGTGTTACTGCAATCTGAGGAGCTGGAAGAAGCCCGCAAACGGCTTGCTGCAGCAGCCTCTCAACAGCAACAGCAACAGCAAACGCTCCACGAGCAGCAACAGCAGCTATTACGGCTGCAGCGGAAACACCAGCAGCAAGAAGACGAAATCGCAGGGCTGCAGCAGCAACTGCAGCAGCTGCAACAGCAGAATGAAGCTGCTGAACGGGAGCACGAAGAGCGATATGC